TAATAATAATAATAATAATAATAATAATAATAATAAACTTTACCCATTCTTCGTTGGGACGACGTGTTTACAGTTGGTAATGAATGTCCAACTGTGAGTTAAAGGGTAACATTATATTGTTGTTTATAATTATTTTCATTTTATTTTTTTTTCTCCTCCCAAAAAAGACGCAAACTTCGGTTTAACTCTTCGTTTGAAACAACAAAAAATCTGTAGAAACAATCAACCAACAAAAACCGGAATGTTGTACATCATAGCATTATGAGTATACATTCATAATTGTGAGTACCTACTGATTTACGTTACGTTTCATTTTAAATCGGTTTCGTTAAGTTTTTATTTTATAAACGTTTCATTTACTACGCAATGTCAATTATTGTTATTATTTGTTAGACGACAGACCCATTAATCAGGGCTTATAATTAATTTGCTGTGTTACACAGCCGTGTTGTGTGCCTGTGTGCACGGGGTTGGAAAGAAATCTATCGATTTATATCGATATATATATATACACAATATTATATAGTTTATTCATCTGAATTGATAAAATTATCGACGAGGTGAATGTGTATATTTTTTATTTAATTGTTCGCCTTTTTAGAGAAAACTTAAAATAATTTCTATGAATATTCGGTATAAAATATTTGTTTTTACATTTTATTATTATTATCATGTATACTTTTACAATACGCGTATCTACTATAAAAAATGAATATAATTTTTAAAAAGCACTAATAATAATTATATGATTAAAGATGGTTATCTTTAGTCGAAAAAGCTTTTTATTTTTTTTTCCATTGAAAGCTTATGAAATATTACGATTGTTTGTTTGTTTTTATTGCACGCAAGGGTTCACGTAAGTGTATTATTTCTGTAAGCGGTATAACCCCGAAACAGCCAATTGGTGTGTCCAAAAGATACATCTAGTGATTAAAGGGAGTGTGTATTACGTTGTTACTGTACATAGCCACTCACAGGTGCTCGACGGAAATCCGCTTTTAACACGTGTCCGGCATTACATCCTTCCGGTCCTTGTAAATAACTACTGAGCCATTTACGAGGGTCAACGCGCCAACGTTTGAAAACGTGTAGTGACTTAGAGAAGTGTGAAAAGTTCATTCGGATGGAAGTGGAGGCATGACTTGGAAGAATAGGAATAACGTTTAATTTACCTTTTGTCAACGTCTGTCGTGCCGAAAAACTTCGTAAAGTAAAATACGTATATTATTTACTTTTTATACTTGTTAAAAATTATTCAAGGAAAGGAAACTGTAAAAAAATATTCAAAATTATAACTTTTATATTTTTATCATAGATAAGTTGACTTTATGTGAAATGAATGATACATGTATATAAACGAAAAACGTACTAGTTTTTATGCGTTTTATTACAATTTAAAATAAAAATAATAAAAATCAGTAAATATTTAATATCAAATGATTACGCCACGTCAAGGTATTGCCAATTTGATACATTTTTTACTTTACCAAGAATCGATCGTTTTAGACGTTGGTAGTCTAATAAAATCAATATGATATTTTGTATGTATATATATATACGTATGGATGTATATAGTAGGATAAGGGTCAATCTTAGAACCGATATTTGGTATCGGAAATATCGGTATCCGTTTATTTTTAAAACCGATATTTGAACCGTACCGCAAAAAGAGAAAAAACCACTAGCATAAAATACATTAATATCAATAATAATAATAATATTTTAATCACTAAATATCGATAGTACTGTGGTGGACCACCACCACAAAGCTTTCTCATCGATGTGACGCGGTTGGTAATTATGTTCCGGCAACGTGCCTCCATTGCGTTCACCTCCAACGTCAGTCCACTCTCTCGTCCCGACCGTCTTACGGTCTCATCGAATATACTGTCGGTACGTTCATTTTTCTTCGTTGGCGGCACCACAAGACCTCATGTTCTGTTGTCTTTTAAATTGTTAATTTTCGCTAACTTTAGTATTTAATTTTAATTTTATTGTTTAAACTTAAAAGGAACATTGTTATTTATTTTTATTTAATTTGCAAACAAAACTTCTTACTAAAATATTGTAATGCTTATATTATGTTATATCGGTTTTATCAGTTTGCGGTACCGAATTAATTTTAGTATCGGTTTATGTTTTTTGTCAAAAGTTGATTTTTTATGTATTGTATTAAAAATTAACTTAACTTTTATTAATTTGATCACATTTTTGTACTCGTTAGTATATGCACTCCGTTGGATGCTAAAAGTATCGAAGGAAAAATCGGCCGAGGGGAATGATGAAATCGCTAAAATGCAGAGTTAAAAGTTACATCGTGTTACAACCTGCGCTTACACAGCAACGAATATGATACAAACCAGTTACACAAGCGTGTAGTGCCATGCTTTTAATTATATTGATGATATAATGAAAAACCTCGGCGAAGGCAGTAGGGTGACGACAATTCGCGTTTGAAAGAGATTGTTTCGGATTTTGTTTAAATGCCGGTGGTGGTAGCGATTGTGGTGTCAGAATAATAATTTTCCTACGGAAATTATTTATAGTCCATGTATCGGACAATGTGAATAAATTCAATACTGGTGGTGACGTGACCGAAGCGTGTATGGTATCCGCAATGCCAATTTATCCCCAGACCGTACCGCCCACGCACACGCTATTAGGGTTGAATTTCTCGTGTCCACGTACACTCTTTAGAAGTGGGTTATAATAAATCGCAGTGTCAAACCACGTATCCACACACATATATACACTCCATATATACACACTCACATCTCGGACGACTTCGCGGCGTCGATGAAGTAACCATGTGAGCTTACTACAAACATTTTTGATGAAAAATTAATATTTCCGTCGGTGTGCGATGAAAACTGCGTGGTAAATCGGAAAAATTGGAAATATTAGAAACACCGTTTAGATATAAGTGTAAAATAAATCATAATTTATATATTAACAATACAATATACGTTATATGCCATTTCAAGTCAAAATGTTGAATATATTAAGTCTTGAATAAATTAATATCCGTAAGATAACGTGTCCATTTGTGAGCATATATTTTTCAAATAGAACACAGCAATTATGCATCGTTCTCTTCCATACGCCTTCAAAATCCAAATCGTGTAGTAGCTGAAGCCATCGGATTGTGGCAACAATTTGGCGTGGAAGTGTTTTATGTACTCCGTATCATTATATTTATATGTATATATGTATATATCGTACATATATTCTTAATGTCAAATTCACCGCTCGGCACGCTACAACTGATTGAAAAAATATAGTTGTAGCTGGATGATATACATATTTCCATTTCAGGAATGCATAAGTAAAAATTGACACAATAAGCTTAAGGTAATTTAAAGATATGGTATTTTTAACTTATGGTTTCTTAATGATGTATAATGTAGAATTCTGTTTTCAATAATAGAATAATCAAAATTACTACTGTGGGAAATGTTTCAAATTTTTCCGTTTTTCCGCTAGGACATGTATGAATAAAATTCTCTCCATAAAGTTGTTTTCAAACGGAAGCGGAGCAAGAGAGCAAGAAGAAAGAGAGAGAGAGAAAGAGCGCGCTGCATATAATTAAAGTAATTGCATGCGAAGTGTGACAAATCAAACAGATCCATAAGTTTTGCCTCTCATTTAATGCTTTTTAAACACTTAACCAAGTCGGTAAATTATTGTTTGAACGTTGAATTTTATCGAAAGTAACTTTTCACGGAGAGATATAGTTGAATATATAGATATTCAATTCAGGTATATAAAATTGGGTTAATTATATTTTTATGGATAAGAATTGCTAACCACAATACATAATACGCGTACAATATATACTTGCGCATCACAGGTCATTTTCCACAACGGTTGTGTACAGCGGCCATCCGGAAAACGGATGCCAATCACATTCATTGAACCAAATCGATTTGTTTTGGAGATATTTTCAACGGAAAAGAGCTTATTGTAATGAAATTTAATTTATTTTTATTTTTTTTTTTAGCATCGAGAAAATGTTAACATATAATACCTATATATTATTACTTTAGAAATATAATTTGTAGCTTTTATTACTGCAGCGAACAAAAGCTTTTTATATAAATCTAATTATATACAAATAAATATATATGTAATATTGTACAGATATATACGACATACCGTCCATATATGTACGTGTGCGTATTTCCTTTACTAATTTATGTTGTTTTAATGTAGTTTGTACAGTGCACTCGGCCGTGATATTGATTTATTTTTTTAATATTTTACTAAAAACAAACTATTACGGGAATCGGGAAAAATATGTAAAATACGTTACGCTACATGATTATATTATGCGTGTTAGCTATAACAATATTATACGACGTTTAGTGTGTTAAATGCAATGCGAAAATGGTACTCGCTCGGAGTGTTAAATATAATGATTAGTGTATATTTTATTGGAAAACCTGATGTGCTAAATAAACCATATGATCTATTGCTTTATTTTTATTTATTTTTTAATTAATTCAATTTTATTTTATTAACGCTATACAGAAATTTTCAAAGGATTTTACATTGAAAATATATAAACTAATGCAAATAATAATAGTACATGTTAAGTATCGAAAATAAACGATTTGACAGTTTTACAAAATTATAGCAATTTCAAGCAAAATGCAAGAGTAAAATTTAGGCATGTATATAAACAGAGAGTAGTAAAATAACTACACTTTTTTTTTTTTTTCGAATCGAACACCAGGAAGGAATTGCGTTAGCTTTACTTCCTCCTGGCATACATCGTTTATTGTGAAATACTAAAACACAATCTCACGACAGATATATTTATGTCACAAATATAGGGGGCCTCTAACCCTCCTGATTTGGCCTATGACCTACAGAAGTTTCACTTAACTATGTGATCCTTTTTCGATTGCTCGGCTGTGCGCATTGCATTTCCCGCTGCCGGAGTAGTGATTAGCCGACGATCCCATGTCCTGGCACACCACGCATTTGGGTGGGCTCTTTCACGAAGACGCCCAATACTCATCCTCGATGCACACGCTACATGATTGTCTCCGGTCTGGACCCTTGCAATTGTGTTGCGTGTGGTCGTAGCACAAGCACCTAAAACACCTGGTTGCTTTCACCAACCGACTTATTTTGGCAAACATCCAGCCGATTTTCAGTCGCTCTTTCTTCAGCAACTTCGTGGTATCGTCGTCTTTCAAGCTGATCGTCGCTTTTTGCGTTCCAGAGTACGAGGCGCGTAAGCTCCAGACCTTGATTGAAACTTCACCGGCCGATAACTCTAATTTGCTGCAAATTCCTGAGAATACTTTCTCCTCTGTCGTGATGAAGTTTAATCCTGTAATTTTGATCACTACCCATTTTTCGAGGCCACGAACAACAGCTCGCTCCCTTGGAGTATTTTTCAGAGCATTCTCAAGGTCTGGTTGCCTGGAATCGGATTTAGCCAGTCTGATGAGGATATTTCCACCACGGCTCTCCGTAATGGAAGACGCTTGGGCTCCGATCTCTTCGATATTAACATCCTGCTTGATTGCCCTCAAAATCATCGCGTATGACTCACCGTTCTTGGGCCTCACTGCGATGGCATTGGAATTCGATGAATCCAGTCTCCTCCTTTTCTTCCGAATCACTTCAGTCCAGGTGACTTCCTTCTTATCACCCTTGCTCATAGATTATGGTCTGATGTCAGATGGATGCTGCTCAAGTGGCGGACATCTTCGCAAACTAGAGGTACTATCAGAGCTTCCAACACCACTATTTTTCTTTCTCTGTTGTTCTTTGAGAACCTCTCGCATTTCACTGTACATATTTAGCAAAGCGTCATATTGCGCTCCGCATGTCGTCTTTTCCTCAACTTTGACTGCGCTAGGAGTTCGATTTCGATGCTCATGACTTTTGTCCTCCTTGTTAGCTCACTTATAGACACATTACACGATCTTTTTTGCATTGAGGCATCTGACAGTTCGTCGTCCCAAACCGCAACGCTGCTCTTCAGCTTAACGAGACTGGGTTCGACTTTTCGGATGAAATCTAAGAGCTTGATGGCTCAAGCCTTGATGGGCTGGTGGACGTTGCGGTTTTCATCGAAAAACTTCTTCAATGTCTCCGAAATCTTCCGTGTCTTCATCAATCACAACTCGACTTCGTCAACGTAGCTGAAAGGCCCCAGATCATATGTATCTACAGGTGTCTTCTTTTTCATTGCAGCACTAGTAGATGTTAGAGTATCGGGGGCCTGGCTCGCTACTCCCGCACCATCACGGTCTTATGATGACGACCGAAGTGGGCCCGCTTCGTTGGATCCGGATTTTACCCCGAAATCACCCACTCCTGCCGGCCTTTGGTGGTACCGAAGTCCCTGAGGCGGTAACAATATTTTTTCTGGAAGATCTCATATTATGGTTTTTCAAATGGTTTCCTTCACTACTTTACTTACCTTAAATTACTTTAACCCTACTGCCAAGGCATTTTTGATCAGGGTTTTCTATCCCCTAGGGCAGCTGCTAACCAAGGCTAAGAGCCCGCCCTGCTCTTAAGACCGCTTAGTTGTACCTTTCCTCCGTGACCTTCCGGTATAGGTCACCTTGTCGGCATAGCCCACGGAGTCATTAAAAGACTTAAGTTCTCCCACCACGGCGAAGTGGGCTCCCCATAGGGATGTAAAATAACTACATCTAGAATGTATTAGATGGCATTATTAGCACTGCGTAGTATACGGTGTAAAGAATGATTGTGTCTTTAAGAGGTAGAGTGCGCAGGGACATGAAAAAATGTGTGATGCCTCGTTAGGTAGATTGGAACACAAAGATTTCAATAGAGGAGAGGAGGTCTGGAGTAGCTATTAATCCATCAAACTTTATGAACCTTGCTCAAAATAGAATTATGTCTACGCGGAATACTAGCTCATTAGCCTTATCTGATTTCCATTGATCGTATAGCGGTTTTTTAGTGGTTCATGTTTCTCGTAGGTATCTACGGTATACATTAAAGTATGTATATGTACAATTAGTGTATTTTATAAGTCGTTGTAATTTTTTTTTTACCTATCCTCAAGAACCATTAGGCCGTTAAGTACATGAATCTGCAAGTACTTGATTGTTAAATCAAAAGTATTGAATAATCCTGAGTATATATAAAGAAGTTTAAACAATCAATTTTTTGTGTAGTGACGTTGGTTGAAGGAGAGGATTTTCAAGTCAAGACTTTGTCGAAAGTGCGCATTCGTATATGTAAAATAACAGATTATGAACCCAAAAAAAAAAAAAAAAAAATTGATAAAAATTTATCTATTTCTTCAATAAATGTTATAATAAAATAATAATATATTAATAAGTTAAAAATAAGTAAATTTTAAATAAAAAGTTTCGACATTTTTTTTAAAATGAGTATAGTTTGTGTTGAATCAAAATTCAATACTTGAAAATAATTTTTTTTTTTTAAATATTCTATCATCATAGCGTATAATATCGTTTAATTATTAATAATACCTATATTCCGATTGTTGAAATATTTAAAAATGAGGTTTCTGAAGTCATTTTTTTAAACAACAGTGAAAGATTTTTCGTTCCAAGCTGCGATTTCTGCATATTTCAGCCTATTTTAACTGTGTTTAGCAAAATTTTCTTTTAACAAATTTTTACAAATTTTTTATTTCACGCTAACATATTTACAAAAATATAATTTATTCTACCGGGAAATAAGAAATATGTAAAATTATTTTAGTGAGAAATAAAATATTGTTAAAAAACATGAGATGGAGTTTTTGTTCTATGCGGTGGATTTACAATGAAATATGTAGAAATCGTCGATTGAAGTGACAGATATTTCTATGTAATTTAATAATAATAAAAAAAAAACTTCAGAAACCTCTTGTTCCACTAAGCTACTGATTTGCGTATGGAAGGCCCCCGGTGTAATGCACCCCCATAAAATCAGGCACTACGTATGCGTGATAGGGCAGTTTGAAAGGAAATATCGGTTAACGTAATTGGAGTTCGGGTAGGTTATCGCGGCTAAAACGAGTTTGGGGGATGGTGGGTATAAAGAGCATGGAAACGTGTCTTCGGTCGTCGTCGTCATCGGCGGTGGTGTCGGCGACGGCGGCGCTGTTACCATAACGTGTGCCGCCAGCTGACAGGATCGGCGTTCACTACAGGCGCTCATTTTCTCGGTGGTCCAGTCGGTGGTCGGCAGACAACGGGCGAAATTGTCTATCGTCACGCGTCCTTGTTAGGGAACGGTAATCGCGTGCGCTCGTAATCATCGTGGTCGTTGTTCGTCGTCGCTAGTTCGCTCGTCTGACAATCTGTAGATAATATTATCGTTTCTCATCGTCTCTTCACTGGTGTCTTGTAGAGCGGTAAATTATTAATGAACGAAATTATATAAGATACAAAACAATTTACAAAACAAGTGCTTACGGTCGACGAGCACGCGATCAGACTGCATAAAATATTCCCAGTATCCGTCGAAGTTAACAGGTGAAAATAGTTATTATTTTTTCATCACTTCTCCCCCTCTCCCCTCTAATCGACCATAACTGATTTAATTTTGCCACTCATGTCGACGAATTCGACGAATTTTCTCTAAAACATTTTTTGAGCATGTATTCTGTTAGATTAAGAGAACTTTCCACGGGCGCGCGTGGGCGTGTGTGTGTACGACGAAACGATTCGTTCTCAACTCGGATTCGGTTTGAATTTTCACAAAGTATTACGTTCTTATGGTTTTCTTGTATTACACGTCATTGTTTTAATACGGTACACACGTGAGTTGTAATATTTTATTCCGTTAGAAATTCGTTCGATATTTTCCGACTCGTTTAACTAATATGTTCGCAAACTAGATAATATAGTTCTTTTCTCAATCCAACCATGTGCAATATGAGCGTACAAGCGTTGCGTTCTCATTTGCTTAAGTTTTTTTTTTCATCCATCAACGCGAACACGGTTAATTCTGCTGACTGCTCGGATTAGTTAGATCGGTTACCGTCGGATTTTAACGTTTGTGCGCAGGCGACCCATACTATTTGCCCAATATTTCATACAACCTAAATAATAACCAAAATAATGTTCAATGCGGAAAGTGGGTTATGCATCCCATCGTTTCTTATCCTTAATTTTTTCACTAGATGTCATTACCAGGTACGAGTATGGGGCACCTACTCCTGGTTATTTTTTTTATCAGAAACTCATCAAATTTAATCGTTTCTTTGAATATCGACTGACAGAAAAATAAAATTGAAATTGTCTATGGAAAAAAAAAATGTACAAACAATTTTACATTACTATTGAAAGAAATTAGTAGTTTTAAACGAAAATATTTTATTAAATTTTTATACTGTTACCAAACATTCATATTTACTATCGACTCTATGGTTGAGAAATACTGGATTCGACAGTAAAAATTTAATTTACGTCATAGAAGAAAACCCAAGCATTGTTATTTTAATTATTTCAAGTATTTACTGCGAATACAGTTTAATAATAACAGTTACAACTATGGACATTGAAGTTTGTTAAAAAACTTAACGAATCATTGAACATTTTACATATCGAACCTTTAATACAGCTCAAATTTCCATTTTATCTTCGATTTTTCTCACTCATAATTGCCCACATACGAACAATAATTGGTAAATCATAAATGTGTAGTAATGAATATTATGTTATGTATCTACATATTTCGAGTATGATATTTTTATTTCATAGGTTAAAATTTTAGGTCAGGCGATTCAGCTCGATTAAATTTTATATTATTTTTACAATGATGTGTTAAAAATAATAAACAACATAGTGTATCCATGATCATTTTTTTCTCCGGTGGTAAATATGTTTCTGGGTTTTCTTGTAGTAAAGTCAATCAATTGAAAATAATTGGACTGAGACAATACTTTGAGTTTATTAATAACATGAAAATTCCATTATTCTACAAAAAAAAAAAAAAATGATCAAGTGTTATGTATTTTTTTCGATTATTTCTTATGGTTAGAAAAATTCTGTTAAAGAAATTTTACCCGTAAATTATTAAACAATTTTGTTATTTGAAGAGAAAAAAAATATTTAAATTAAAAATAAAATTTAAAAAATACTTTTACCACACAAACCTTTTTAAAATAATTTTAGTTAATAATTTATTGATATTTTTGGTTTTAAGACTAATAACTTTTAACTTTAGACAGGCTATATATTTTTATACTAAATATTAGTTATTAAATACCTTGATTACCAAATTTTATTTTGTTTTTAATGAAACGATTTTTTAAAAAATTGATACATAAATATAATTTAATTTTTGTCGTTATATAAATCAATAAATAAATAAATTAATTAATTAATTAAATTTTTAGAAAAAATTTGATAAATTTATTTCTTAAATCGATATTTTTCAGATATCAGAAATACTAATAGTGTTGTTGAGTACTGTAAATACAAAAATTTTATTTTATAATTTTAAAAATAAATATACTTAAAAATCGTTAAATAAATTTGATGTGTTTATTAAACACTAACCTAACGTGCAATTTAAATATTTTATAGTTGCATAATACATTTTTAGAAAAAAAAATACAATTAATAAATTTTAATTAATTTAACTTTCCTCTCGTTATTTAAAAAAACTGAAAAGTTTTATAAAATGTAATTTTCCAATTAAAAGCATGTCAAGAGTTTATGAAAAATTTACTGATTTTAAATGTTTCAATAAGGTATTCTATAGATATACCTAAGTACTAACATAATCTAATAGATATATTTCGCTAAGAAAAAAAATAGTTTTTCATATCTTTTACATAATTTATTAATTTGATTATAATCACTTATATTTGCATACCATTAATATTAGTTAAATATATTTTAATAGTAAAATTTTTTGAATTAGAACTGCAGCTACTGAAGATTTTTTATTGGCTTAAAATTATACGGAAAGATTATTTAATTCTTTACACAAAATTACCACCTAGCGAGATTAATAATTTCAACTTTTATGATAATTAAATAAAAAATAAAGTTATTGTAGTACAAAGTAGATAGGTAGATATAAATTAAATATTTATTTTTTCGTTTCAAAGGTTATGCATTGATATTTATACTTGTTTATAGTCAGTTATATATAAACAATCAGTTAAATTACATTAAATGAAATTTTATTTATCTTGGAAGCAATTTTTTTTTTTAAATGTCACTTCGTTGGTAATTAAGAAAAGTTCGCCTTTTTGAATAATACTATAGAATTTATTTATAATATGTTATTTTGACTTTTGGTAACAGGTACTGGTTACCAACAAAATCGTGGTATATTTACAAACAGATAAAATGTGATATTGTTATATGTAATTTTGATTCATTACTAAGGTATAGAAATTGTTCAATATTTTTACAATATTAACATTAAATTGATTGTATTGTCGTGAAAAATATCAAACTTAATAATTTCTAGTGTAAAATATTTTATTTTTAAATTAGGTATTATTATTATTATTTATTCATTTGATTTGTATTGTAAAATAAAATATTTTTTTCTTTTGGATATAACTATTGAAGTATTTAAATTTAAAAATATAATGCTATGTGATTGCTTGATTCCTTTATCGTGAACGCTATACTGGAAACTATTATAGCCTTTGGCATTTATCGGTATTTTTTTTGTCTCTGATCACTTCCCGATTTGTCACATTTTCACTCCATATTTAATCAAATTAAAATAATTAGTAGACTTATAAAATATATTTCATAAACACAAAATTTATTATATCTGCATAAGAAATATAAAAATAAATTTATTATCATTTATTTAAATTAAACTTAACTTTTATCTTTTTTTTTTTGTAAATTAATAACTAATTAGATGTTTTTAATATTATACATTTTTCTTTTAAAAATGTATCAATTAATTTATCATTATTCAATGTTGACAAAATTTGCTTTAATATTGCTAAAGAATAAATTGAGTATTCACTACTCATGTAGTCAGTAATCGTAAGTATTTTCTTATTAATTTGAGATATTGAACGGAACGTACTGGCGTACAGTTGGAAATTAGTGTAAAAACAAATATTCTATGTGCGATATTTATATATTAAGATATACAGCAGAAAAAAATATCCTATAAATGCACACATACACATAAACAAGTACACATAAATAAATACGTATAAAAAGAGAAGAGAAATGCATTTGTTTGTGCCTAAATATACCTTTGATTACTTTTTCGTCTTAGACGAATAATTTTTGCAGGAGATGTAAGAAATATCTGCTGTACGTTAAACGATCGCTAGTCGTCTAACTCGACATTATGTTTATTTATTACATCTAATATTTTTTATTTATTATCTCGAGCAATCGTTATAATAATATTATACGAGATAAAATTATTATTATTATTAACCAGACGCTGCGAAAACTATGGTGTAGTGTGAATATGTGTTTGCTTGTTATTCATGCTAGTAATCTGCAAATGGATCCCGTTGTATTTGTATTTATATACATATACTTACATGGTTTATACGTATTTACTGCCGTTTCTTAAGCTCACCAACTAAATTATTTAGTACTCTATGGGACATCTGGTCATCGTGTTACCAATAAATGATAACCCAAATGACATTAGCTGAGTTCCGCATTATATTTTATTATGTAAATCAATTCCAATCGACCGACCACCTATGGTGATAGGTCAATCAACTGCGAGTACCTGATCTTATTTAATTTTGGCTTTTACATTAAAATTACTATATTTTAATAATTATTCTCGATCGCTTACTGCGTGTTCTTTGATACAGTAGTTAACAATGGTTTAGTTTTTTTCCCATTTTTTTTCCTCTCATAATATTGATGTCTTTTTAAATTAGGTACCTGTTTTGTATTATTTTAATAAATAATGAGAAATTTTGCTCATAATTCTTCTCAAAATAATCATAATAGTTTTTGTCGGTAAAAAAATGCTTTCTCACATTTGGTTGTATAACGAAAAAACGTTATACTACCCTTCACTGTTACAATTATAATCGTAATCACATTGTTGTTTCTTATAATTGTGTTACATAATGGACATCGCAATATTTCCATGAATTGAGTATAAAAATAATCCAATAACATATTATACTTAAAATTAATATTCAATTAAGCTATTGATTGATAATTCCGTCTTTTTATAAAACGCGTTTCGAATTTTTTTAGAGTAAAAATTAAAAATTCTATAAAATGACGGAAGAAGTCCATTTATTATTTTCATAATAAAAATCCCCCGTCGAATATTATTCACCTCGGCAAGTCGATAAAACTTCGAATTCATTAAACGGCGATTAGTATAGGCAATTTCGTAGCGTTAATGCGCTGCGGGCCTAATCGTTAATTTGATTGCGTAAAAAAAAAGTAAAATAAGAGTTGTACAAAAAAAAATTTGTACGTAATAATAATAATTATCAATCAAATTAGTTATTTGATCTACCTGTTGGTACTTTATTATATTTAATTTATCTCGTACTCATTACTACGTTATCTATGTAGATTATTTCATTAAAACACGGTCTTATTAAACGTTATGTTATTAATTATAATTGTTCATAATATTATTCAATGTTCTTTTCTAGATGTACGCGGTATGTGAAAAGTACACGTAAAAAAGCACATCATGGTGAGTTTATAAATAGTTATTATATAAATAGCTTATTTTTGATAAATAAAAGTGAGTGTAAATGTTAATGAGTAGGTCTTCAATTATTATGTTTGTTTATTTTGTACTCCATTTTACTGAAATAAAACGTCAATAACGCTTTAACGACGATTGAGAAAAAAAAAAAAAAGGTAAAAACCTTTGCCAACGTTATACGGTGCAACAAGCTCGTCTAGAATGGAGAGGTACGATTGTATGAAACGTTTTTAATTTTCTTTTCCTGCTAGCGAAATTTAATAAAAGATAAACAACTTAAACACAAATTACTCGTCTTGTTATGACTATTTTTCGTTTATACTCTTAATGCATATTGATGCTCTTATTAACTACCAAATATTTTTACATTTATGTTGTATATACCTGTGCACTGATACCGGAGAACAGCTACATAAATCCATGTTTTTCAAACAATATCTGCTGTCTTTTCGATTTCTTCGTCACGATGTGGGTGTTCGTGTTAATCGTGCAAATAAATAATGATTGCAGCGCGTGGACACGCAACAAACCAATATATTGGCATACATTTGAAGCCGTGTTACTTGTGCTAACATTGTACCGTCGTTATAACTCATTCAAATAAACGATTTGAGAACAAAACTAAAAAACTCGAGAAGTTTATAGAAAAAAAAAACACTGATTTTTATGGCATTTATGAGGATAAAACATTCCGATATTAAACTTGAAAATATAATTACTCGTTATTAAAGTACGAATTGTAAAAACTTAGAAAAGTTAAAGCATTCCTTTTTATCAATAAGGCGAGCACTCAATCGATGATTTTTTTAAATTATCAATGATATTGTATTAAATTAATTTTGAAGTTAAAAAATGAAAAATAAATCGCGGTTGTTGACATAATTACACTTACACAATAATATTTCTATATTTTCATAGAAATACATGGTAAATGCTTGTGTTTTAAAATATTGATAAAGTTGTTGGAAATTATTTTCAAATGTACGATTCTACTAATTTATTATTGTTCAGCTATATCATATGAAATATTTATGTCAAATACATATATATATATATATATATATTATAAGTACTGTTCATCGGTTAAATTATAATTATTTAAAATAATTATTCATTCTAATTATGCTTAATAATTACAATTATTGATTGTATTCTTTACTAAGATAACTTATGCTGATGCCATAAACGTATACACATAGGTCAAATATCGAGAAACTGTTGTATACGAATAGAAACTTATTATTACAAATATCATTTGAACTAAAACACATGAATTCAAAACATTTTATTTTTAAACGATTTTTTTTTTAAGTAAAATCCTTCACAAAATTAATTGTATCAAAACGCTCGCCAATCTGTTGTTGAGATATCAATCTAAATAGCCGTAATTTGAAGCTTGTATACACAAACGGGTTTCGTTACTCAAATATGAATTATGTGTAAAGTATTGTTTTTTCAAATTTTTTTTTGGCTTTTTATTTGTCGAACAACATTTTTTTTTTTATAATTTCATGTTTTCATTTATACTCTCATATTTAACAGGAATTCGAAAAATTATGAAACTCAAGGAGTATATAAATGAACACTTTTATAGTACAAACGATTGACGAAGCCTGATTGTGTATACGAGGAAGAAAATAAATTCGTTTTGAACAGTAAACATTTATGTCGCAAAGAACTTTTAGGTTGAAATGTATAAACACTTTTTTTTAATATATTTATTGCGTATATATATATATATATATATATATATATTATTATTATTATTTATATAACATAATGGCACGTCTGATATTTTTACATTTTCATTTGTTTTCATATGAAATGTATTCGTGTACCTTTGAAAAACTTCATACAAGGAATAATATAACTTGTGTGAAGATGAAATTGTGTGTATAGTGTGAGCTAAAGGATTTTCATTAATGAATCTAAAATGAGGTTTTCCTTGTGGTGTATAATTCATATTCACACATACAAGTACAAGTGCGAGGAAGTACCGCAGGGCGTGTGTACGATACATACTAACGATTGTGGCTTTTTTTATTTTTTTTTTAAATACTTCACAATCATAACGGGAATTACATCAAATCGCTGCAGACATATTATATATGTATTATGTATATTTACGTTTGTATTTACTTTGAATATCATGTCCTCGAGATTTTTTGTTTGAACGAAACATTTTATGGGGAAAAAAAATGTATAAACGTTCAATGTACAGTTGAGACATTGATTGTCTGAAGTGAGTGGTTGCTATTAAAATATACCGTCATGTATTCGCTTAAAACGGTCCAAAAAGAGTTATAATTTGATGGGTGATGGGAGGAAAATAATGTTCTTCGGATGAAAAGAAATGTACACGCGAGAATCGTGGGTGCAATTAGTCTATCGTATTTCAAAAGATGACACGTTTAAAATATATGAATATGTACTTGTTCAATGTTAATGAGATTAAAAATAGATATTATTTAAACGAGGAATTATATTACGGTGAAGGAATTTCGTATGCACCATACCTGCATGTACTTGTTGTCTAATATAAATAACTTTCAACTAAACGAATAATCATAAAACTTTCACGATCGAATGTACCACAGGGTGATAAATAATCATTTCACTGCATGTTATAATAGTGTTCGAATCGCATTAAATGTACAATAATATATTAGATTATTCAAACTCTATTCGGGCACGCCTCGAAGTTTTTCGGAAAATAATATTATTAAATGTTTGAAATAATTTCCAAAGGCATTCCGGGTGAAATAAAATCACGGTATTTAATTCGATCACATATCACGTCTGGCGCATATTGCGGAAATCTAAAACCTTAAAACCCGTTAAGATTTCCCGTGTCGTATTGTATACCGAAAAGGGAAAAGGTATTTCATTATATTTGAGAGTAGCATGTGAGTATGTGTGTGTTAGTGTGTGTGTGTGTGTGTGTGTTTATTTGGAGGAACGTAAGTATTTGGAATTTCGTTAAATTTTTAATAAAATGAACGACAAATACGCCTGAAATCTAATAATAATAATGCAAATAAAAAATGAGCTACCAAAGACAACAAGCATACGATAGTATAATTTAATGCGAGTTGTAAAAATACAGAACATACATATGTTGTAATATTATCGGATATTATGTAAATAAAATTATTAATTCATGTAAAAATTCATGTATCCAGCGGAGTGGTTGTGTATCGTGCGGAATATTCATGCATCATGCTATTATATATAATAGTTATAATAATACGGTTACGATATTATTTTTAAATTGAACGGTTGTACGCGAATTTTAATAATAATATTTTATATGTGCCCACTTGCGGGGCTGTGTACAGTGATGGTAATATACAATGCGTTCAACGATTAAAAAAAATCCTTGTTGTACGATTGATATGCATGTGAAATAATAATATTGCACAGGTATGTTTCCCTGGCACCACAATATTGAAAAATCTATAATTTTTTTGTGCCATTAATTGTACCATAATTTGTACTAATTTGCACCACTAATTTCAGAATTTGTACCAACGGATTTCTCACAGAAAAATCGAATTCTCTTTAGGGGTGCCAGAAAAACGTTTCTCTGGCACCCGAAACCACACCTAATCAACTATTCTACATTTTTTTTTTTTTGCGCTATTAATTGTACCATAATTTGTACCAGTTTGTACCACTCATTTCAGAATTTGTACCAACAAATTTTCCACGGAAAAATCAATTTCTTTCTACGGGTTCCAGGGAAAATTAGATAAGATATTATACCTTATAATACCGTTTTATGTGAGTGTGTTTTTTTTTACCAATTGAATAAAATCGTATTAACATCCAAATTTCGCACAACAATACAACGTAGAACAACAAAATCAGGATTTATATGAACGTAAATAATATTTTATAGGTTGAAAACTCGCAAATAACATTATCTGTTATAAAATATATAACATGATACAGTACAATAAATATTACCAACAATACTATTGCGCCCTAAGATAGGCACATATTTTTTTAAGTTATTAATTATATATTTAATTGAACTTGTGAAAATTTATCAATCAAGGATTTGACGTTACTACTATTACTTTTTATGATGATTCTATAGCAATGATTGTGTTTCGTGTACGGTATCAAGGAATTTCTTTCGTTGAAATGTTTGTTAAAATATTTGAAATAACATTATTGTTAGAAAATTTATATAAATTATATGAACGTCGGCTGTTTAAAATAAAAACATGATCTGACTTATACAACGCGTTATCATTTAGACCCCGACGACGTTCATCGCATGTTTAAAGAATTCCAATCGTGTTGATTAACATTATTTATACCTCTCACAATGGATACGGTCTTATATTTATTAATCAACGAATAATTTATCCGTGTAAAATGTTACAGAGAGATGTACTAAGTCGATTATCCGAATCAATACAATAATAGATTAAAATAAGTTTAAATAGTTTTTATTAGTCAATAGTAAATTTCGATAGCATACAAGTTGCTTGTTTATTTTTATTCTAGTTTATTTCCTAGAAAAATATACCAACAAGCGAGGCTAGGGAATCTCATTATCCTAATATTAAACGATATCTATAATGTTTATTATTATCTACCAGTGGCGTATATAGAAGGTGCCTAATGGGCTGTAGCCATAACCCAACCTAACCCTCCCCCCAAAATGTTTCAAAAAACTTAAAAATTATTTTAAACGTTTGTTATATTTTAATGGTGCTCTATGCTTGTTAAGAAATAATTTTATAAAAAAAAAATAGAAAAATGATTTTAACTTGGTTTTTATTTTTATTTTATTCAATTGTACTTCAATAGTTCATAAAAATGTTTTAAAATTCTCAATTTAAGGTTCAATACTTCCCATACAGCATAGATATATTTACTCAATATTTAATAAATATTTTAATAAAATGTTAATATTTAATAAATTCTGAACTGAGTGGTACAAATTAGTAAAAATTATAGTACAATTAATA